ATATACAATAATGGAAACATACACGAATTCAACCAATAATATTTAATCTATAAATTGGACAGATTCAAGAAAACTGAATAAATCTTCATGTTACTGACCTGTGGCATGTGTAACTTCAAGATGTCGGTGAGGATAGACAGAATCTGTGTATATGAGAAGCTGTCATAAGCCTTCATGCTCAAGAAGTCGGCACACTCCGTCCCCAGTTTTATTAAGAGCTCCTCATCTTGCTTGGTGAGTTCTCTGCCCTCATAAACATGAGCAGCAAAGCGATACAGAAGATGAAGGAAGTGGGAATGGTTAATCTGACTTGGATCAGGAGCTTTGTAAACACCCGCACTAACGGTTTCCTTCAACACACTCAAGCCCATTTTGTTTAAGATCTTGTTTCCTGAAACACAATAAATTCACATTTTTGGTAAATGGACTGAATTTATATAGTGCTTTATCAAGCCCCATCAGATCCCACAGCACTTTAGACTTACAGTCATTCACCTTTTTATACACATTCACACACTGATGGTGGTGAGCTACATTGTGGCACACTGACAGAGGCGGAGCGGCCATGCACCGGCACCACCGGATCCTCTGATCACCATCAGTAGGCAAGGTGGGTGAAGTGGCACAATGACCGAGACAGCTGGAACGGGAGATCGAACCAGCAACCCTCTGATTACAGGACAACTCCCCTAATCATTCCACCACAGCTGCCCTTTTTTTATAACATAAAACTCCTTTCGGCTCAAATAACTACATTTATTTCTCAGATGGAGTCATAATTCTGATGAAATTTCACTATTAAATTTACAAATGTTTAGTTTTGTGCTCGTTCTTCAGGTTGCATCTGTACTTTTTTAGTTTATATTTTGTGTTCTTGTCATTGTTACATTATCGTCTGTGAAGCTAAAAGAGTCAATATTCACAAATGCACACATGATTCACACGTGTATCCTTTCTGTGTGCACATGTGAATCATCCTGAGTAAACGTGTGAATCTCATATCCATCCATCCATCCATTTTCTGTACACGCTTCGTGAATTTTAAATTTTGAGACTCTATGCTCCATAATTGTTTGCCTTCACCGCATGGCAATAATTAATTGGAATAACAAAAAAAAAAAAAAAAAAAAAAACTGAACAAAAATAAATTTAAAGGTTCAGTAAAACATGATTTGTATTTTACACTTTGAAAGTCATCATGCAAAACTGAGTCTGCAGGTTTGGTGCTGATAAGTGTCTAATTTAACTTTTACACATTTACAGGTCATCTTTCTACAGTATGTGTTCGTAAATTATGTGACAGTCTATATTTCTGGTGGTTCTGATTCTGACACTCAAACTTAAATTCATCATCTTACCTGAGAAGTCTTGCAATGGGTTTTGCCCTGGGTGTTGGTATTCCCACCACCAGGCATGTCCACCAATCAGCAGACCTCCTCCTTCTGCCACAAAGTTTTGGATTTTCTCAGGATCTTCTTCATTCCATACTGTGCACACATAAACACTCAGGTCCTGCCTGATTGTTGTCGTCTCACACTGTAACCCTAGGTTGGGTAAAATTTCGATCTCAGGACAAAATCCAATGACTCCCTTCCTGTTTTGGTCCAGCCAATGAAACGAGTTGTTCCAAAATGACGCCATTTTCTAAAAATGCATGAAAGGTTAATTAAATTGCAGAAAAAAGAATAGAAAGCTTTTTTATTACTGGGGTAATTACATTAGAGGTGCATTGATATAGCATAAATATTTTTTAGTTCATTATAATACAAATTACAAAATGTAAAATGATCTTAAGTTAAGAATAAAAATGTAACTGAGACTTTGAACTGTGTTCCAAATATTTTTTTTGCTTTTTGTATCAGGAAAAATAGCAAAACAAAATATTCTCTATAACATTACCTCAGATGCTATAAAACTTTCATGTGTCACCAGAATTACTCGTCCTCTTCCATAGTAGGTTCCTGCCAGGAAAGCTTGTCCATCATTTGTGGTACAGATGGGGAAAGCAAGAGGACCGTGGATCAGAGCCTCAGAGGGAACTGCATCTCCCTGAATGTCAAACTCTGAAATCCCTTTCAGCAAAAACTCCAGATCTCTTTTAAAAGTCATTGTACTGCTGTGTTATGAGAAGAAGGTGGAGACAGAGTCAGAGATGTCATGATGATAATCAATGAAGAAAAACAAACAAAAAGTTAAAGAACAATTTTTAGCATTTCAAAATAATAGTCAGAAAAAATAGCTCAATAAAAATTGGGCAACTGTAAGCCAAAAATTTACATAAATTACGTACTTGAATCCAAGAAAAAAACATATTATTTTATACTACTGTGGCATCATGTTGATTGGTCCAATTCACACAAAACATTTGATACTAGAGATTCATTTTAATTCACAAGTTGGTTTAAAAGTAATTGTATCGGGTGGTGACATCATTTGTGGATTTAAAGAAAACTGAAATTTGCGTTAAAACACACACTTACTGTAAGGATTTCCAAGAGTTTGGGATTTCAGGGCTGATGGGCAGGTTTTCTCCTTTTGCATATTGTGCAGAAAAGTAGATCCCTGCCACCCCTGACACTTTATTCCCTGGAAACTGAAGGATTAGGTTTTCATTGGGGTTTTGTGCAGTCCAGTTCCATGCTTGTCCCCCTATCAGGACCCCTCCTCCTGCTTTCATGAAGGCTACCAGATCTCCTGCACTTGCTCCAACTTCGTAGGCATCTGATACAAACACATTAACTCCCAGATTTTCACTGAAACCCTCAACAAGACTAACTTGGAAGTTGGATTTACTGAGGTTATCAGCGACTGCCTTTAGTTTTTTGTGCACCCCCACAGACAAGTTTTCAGATTTCCCTCCTCCCAGCCAGATCAGAGCATTTTCTACCAGAGCAGGACACAGAGTCAGGTACTGCTCATGGCCCAGAACCACAATTCTTCCTCGGCCGTACAGAGAAGCAGCCATGAGGACATGACCCTCACTGTTCATCAATACAGGAAAGGCTTTTTCTCCTGTCAGCTCCAGGTCACAGGGGACACTGGAGCTCCTCAGATCCACCTCCTTCAGGTTTTTCACAAGAGACTTGTAGGCCTCTGCATGGTAGGACTGGGTCTGCTGGTCGGACATTATGTGAGGATACTCTGTAGATTAAACAATAAATTAAACAGGTAAAATAATTTGTATTCTTGATGTAAATGAGATGCTGGGATAATTACAGTTTTCTTTTCTTGTCTCACATAACTCATTTAAATGTATCAATCTAATCGCATTTGACATATTTATTTTTAAAATCTTAACATGAAAGTCATTTTTACCTGAATTCACTTTAGATCTCAGAACAGGTCAGTCTTGGCACTGCAGCTCTCCAAACAGCTCCTTCAGACAGGGTTAGAGTGAAAGGAAAAAATGTCAGAGAGGAGGTGAAGGTGCTTTTTTATCTTCATACTTATAGAAAGTGAAAGTAAATATAGGGAGGGACTTAAATCATCAACCAATGAACAGAGAAAAAAGGCAGTTTCTCCTTGTATAGCCATGTTTCCTTATCTTTACAGTGTCAGTTTACATGTTAATTTGTTTCCAAGAACTGAGTCAGCTTCCATAGACGTCTTTACCTTTGAAAACTATTTTTAACCTGAAGTACTGTTGAACTGTATCCAGCTTTTTTTTTTTACAGTTACTGGGATGAGATAACCTAAAACAGATATTTTTTCCCACAATTTCAAAAAAAAAAACTTCTAACATGTTCAGCACAAACAGACAAATACACAAGTTGTGTGTCTACATAAGAGACTGACAAAAACTGGGCTGTGACTGAGTGAGTCTGCTTTAAAAGTGCAACATCCATTAATGATTCAACATCTCACCAACCCAACAAACCCACCTTAGGTCTCCCAAAATGTGACCATAAAAGCATCAGAGAAAAGAATATTAAGCAGACATATCAACAGCTGCACATTGCTGTAAAAGACATCCTGCGTCAACTCACCTCAGCAATATAAACATTTTAACTCACAACTTATATAAACCTTACCAGCCATTCACTGGCTAGATTCTTATCTAGTCAGCCAGGAGATATCCCTGTGTTTGGGTGATGACAAGAGGTGAGGAATGAAACTACCTTTAACTGAAGAGCAAATTACAGAGCTAACAAGGTACTCCAACTGCACCTCCAGGTGCTTTGGTATCGGGTCCTACCTTGTTAAAACTTAGTTTTGGGTGGAAATTTTTTGCAATGAATTGAAGAAATTATTGGGGTTTAGGTTTACATCACTGATTTAAATTACATACACATGGTACAGTCTTATGATAGAATTGTAATGATTGTTAAATGTGACTGTTTTGCTTAACTCAATGATTTTTATATTAATAGCTACATCCCTGAAAACAAATTACAACACATAACTTAACTTTTACATCCTCATAAGGGTAGGGTTTTTATGTCTGGGGGTGTGGTTTATTGAGAATAACAGCCCCACTCACTTGCACGCGCGCGCGCGCACGCACACACACACACACACACACACACACACACACACACACAGATGACGCAATCAAAAAGTGGAGCCACGCCTCTGAGTCATTTTTGCCAAATTATTTCCAAAGAATTTCCTTATTTTCGGTCTGAAGGCTTGGTCACTGATTAAAATAGTTTTTGGCAGAGAGCGCTCTTTGGTTTTGTATTGTTTCTCTTTAATAATCATTTCCATGCATTTGTACATTTTCCGTATGGTTACGCACACATCCCGGTAACAAGCACACATAACAATATTTTCTTTCAGTATGATCAGAAATCAGTGTGTTTCCTACAATTATTTAATGTATACTTTTTTCTTTGCATTAAAATGTCACAGAGTAAATATATTTACATCAGATTATGTGTAAAACAAATGGGGGGCAACTTCAGCTTCAGCTTTAGTTTAGCCTGTAATCAATCAATCTATCTATCTATCTATCAAGTTTATTTGTATAGCACATTCCAGCAACAAGGCAGTTCAAAGTGCTTTACATCATAAAAACACAAAAGTACAAAGTCATACAGTTAACAAGTGAGTCATTACAGTTTGTCAGATTTCATTACACATCAACATGTTGTTTAATGTTTAATTTATAATGTTTTATAAGCAACTCTAAATAGGTTGGTTTTCAGTCTTGATTTGAAAGAACTCAGAGTTTCGGCTGTTTTACAATTTTCTGGAAATTTGTTCCAGATTTGCGGTGCATAGAAGCTGAACACTGTTTCCTCATGTTTGGTTCTGGCTCTGGGGATGCAGAGCAGACCAGAACCAGAAGAACTGAGAGGTCTGGAAGGTTGATACAACAGCAGATYTTAAATGTGTTGTGGTGCTAATATATACATATATATATATATATATATGTATGTATATACTGTATATACAGTATGTGTGTGTGTATGTATGTAGGTATGGGTATGTTTATATATATTCTTATAGCCTGGTGGATGGAACTGTCCCTCAGTCTACTGGTCCTGGCCTGGAGACTCTGCAGTCTCTTCCCTGGTGGCAGCAGGCTGAAGAAGCTGTGCAGTGGGTGGGTAGCATCTCTCGCCTGGCGGAGGGCTTTCCGTATGAGGCAGGTGCTGTACAAGTCCGGGGGGGGGGGGGAAGGGGAGTGCCAACAATCTTCTCACCTGCTCTTATAATGCTCTGGAGGGTCCTGCGGCAGGCTACTGTGCAGGCCTCATACCACACTGGGGAACATCTGGTCAGGATGATCTCGATGGCCCCTCTGTAGAAGGTGATAGTGCTGATTTGCCTTCCTGGCCAGTGCTGCTGAGGTGGTGGACCAGGAGAGATCCTCTGTGACGTGCACACCCAGGAATTCGTACTGCTCACCCACTCCACAGCAGTGCCGTTGATGGACAGAGGACTGTGTTGTCTGCAGGTTCTCCTGTAGTCCACCACAATCTCCTTGGTCTTCTCAGCATTTAGAGAGAGGTTGTTTTGTTTGCACCATGAGGCCAGATGACCAACTTCATGTGTTTGTATGAATAAAGCTGGGCTCATTTAAAGAGAAGTTGCCTTTTATTTAACCATTAAGGAAGCTACATTGTACACAGAAAGAGAAATGCTATCTTGTGACTGAGAACAAGCTGAGATCACCTTTTGTCAGAGGCCTACAGTACTACAGCACCACCTTCTGTGTCACCACAGCCATAAGACCCACATGTAGCCTCCTCTACCTGTGTGATGTCCATTAGGGTTGAGGTGACCACGGTTGAAGCCAGAGTTTGTGTAGTCCTCGTTTAGAGCCTGTCTTTCTCCCAGGAAGACCTTAGGATGGTATACTCCAAGACAATAACCATCCTTCATCACAGCCTGCCAGGACATGTCCACCAGCTAAACAACACAAAACTGAGAATTAGGGATATAAAATTGCTAAAACAGAGATTTGTTTGCCATCCCACAACAAACGTGTGATTTACATCCAACAACTGTGACAACAAAGAAAAAACTAAAATATTCTGAATATTTAGGCCTTTTAGATACTAACCTGAGGCTCCACAAACCACCACGACTCTCTGCCACCTCCATTGCTGGGCTGGAACTGATAAGCAGAGTAGACAGCAATGCAACGGTTGGTGTCGTACAGCGTGGCGAAATGGTACTGATGGTGCTGAAATCAGAATTATATTTTTGCAGAATTATATGTCAAAGCATGCTCTTGTGGGGTCACAAAAAGTCTGTTGACTTAAAGCAAATACAAAAAAATGATATTTCACAACTTTAATGCAACAGCTGTAACAGTTTTTGCGTTACTCTGCACCTGTTGACGAAATGCTGACAGAGATGGGCGACCCCGGTGTAGATACCCCCCATTCTGGCACCTTCTCTTTGTAAAAATACTTCATGCATTCTGCCACATCCTGGGGCAAAAAAAAAAGACAAATCATAAGCTGTTATAAATGTGTAATAGATGATTATAGTAATATTACTGTTTTGAAGGAGCTGAGAAAAGAAACCTGGAAATGCTCCACAACATCTGCCTGGACAGAAGAGAGGAGGGGCAGAAACAAAACGACCAAACTTTGCATTTTAAATTTCAACTAGAACAAAACATAAAAAAACATATACAACAAGACTGTGTATGATTAAAGTGTGTATACTTTACCAGCTGACATGTTCATGTGAGACAGTTGTACAGTTCCACTCACCGTCTTCTCTGCTTGTCTGCTGCTAAAACCACTGCACCACTTTATATCACCATTCACCTCAAAAGACCTCTGTCCTTATGTAAACTCTTGTTAGTTATTACCTAACATGTGGAGAGAACAGAAGCTGCATATCATGAGTGTGGATAAGGATGACATGTAGTGGGAGAATTTATTTTTGTAAACTTAGGAAAATTATAAATTTAGCTCTGCAGTGGTCCAACTTGCACATATTCTGGGCACAGATGTATTTATCACTGTTCATGCAATATGCAATATGGTTCCTTATGGTTGTTTTTCTGCTTTAATACACCTCTTAGAACTTTATTTTTATTGGCTGAATGACTTTGAATGAAAATAAAGATTTTCAGTAGAATTTCCGACATAACAGCTGCACAGAATTACTATGTATGCATCATTCTACTTTTTTTTCTTCAGCTGTTTTGAAGGTTTGATAAAGATATCATTAAGTTCGTGTTATTTTTATTAGAGTGACTGAGCATCATTTACATCAAATGCTGCTCTGTAATTGTTTTATTTCAAAGACTTTTATACCACAAGGTGTTGTTTCATACATTAGGTTTATTTTCAGCAGCTGTTTGATTCCTGGGTGAAATCATTCAGTAACTGCCAAGTTACACAAAGTGTGTGTCATTGATGGAGGCAAACCACACACAATAAAATTCAGCGTTACAAGGAGTAACACTTTTAGGTCAAGAACCTGGAGCCATGTGGCTTTGTCTAGCCTTGACAAATAAAAGAAAAGTGATATATTTGTTTATTTTTATTTGTTTGATTGACTTTTTCATTGCAGTTATTTTTGAATGACGTGATTTTTTAACATCCACTTGAAAAAAGATTATTATAATTTGTCTTGACAAAACACAATCACATTAATTACTGTCAGTGTGAAAATATTAAGGAAAGATTCGGAAAGGAAAAAAAAACTCTTGTCACA